TGCTGTTTCTCTTGTAGCGTCGCGATCGTCTCCCTTAAAGTGATCGCTGGTCCGCACAATCGTACCAACCGGTATGCCCTGGCCCGATCGCTAGCAGCTTGTCAGCTTTTGCCAGGTGGCGAAGATAGTCGTAGGAGCATGCCCGGTATACTATGAGATTCACTCTCCGGGTAGCAACTGCTTGGGGGCAGCCCAAACTTTTCATAAACCTAGTGGAAGCACATGGATAACAACGACGATTCTCCCAAACGACGCAGCGATAAGGGAAATTCGGGCAACCTGTGGTACGTACTCGTAGCAGGAGCGGCCGTATTTCTGGTGGCCATGTACCTGCTGCAGCCTGGTTCGGAAGAACTGCCGCAGCCTGATTTAGAGCGGCTGATCAGCTCGATCGGTCAAGAATCGAAAGAAGGTGTCGAGCCTGGCATCGTCGTTCAACGAAAAGATGGCGACGGCAAATCGTCGAAGATCCGTTACTCGAACCTGCGAGATGTCGAAATCGGTCCAAGTTCGGTGGTGGGGATCGTCGATCGCTACGATACCGACAGCAAAGATCCAAGCAAAGCAAAAACCGAAGGGCAGAAGATTGTCACTTACCTGGTCCGCGGCGAGAATGCTCCAGGCAAGATTCANNTCCGATTACAAAGCGACCGGCCCCCCTAACTTTTTCGAGATTTACGGCGGCCCGCTGTTGATGATCGGCCTGGGGATTGCGTTCTGCTATTTCATGATTCGTCGCATCGGCGGCACCGGCAGCGCCATCGCTTTTGGTCGCAGTCGCGGCAAGCTGCACATGCAGGACGATTTGAACATCAGCTTTGACGATGTCGCTGGTATTGAAGAAGCAGTCGACGAAGTGAAAGAGATTGTTGACTTCCTACGATCGCCAGAGAAGTACCAAGAGTTGGGCGGGCGTATTCCTAAAGGCGTGCTGTTGGTCGGACCTCCGGGAACGGGGAAAACGTTGTTGGCCAAAGCGATTGCCGGGGAAGCTGGCGTTTCGTTCT